GTTGGGCAGAGCCACTGCTCATCATCTGTTCCAAGGACCAGTCTCTGAGCTTTCTCCGGGGGAGGCCATGTACATAGGACAGGGACTGGTCTCCAGTTGGTACAGAGATGCAACGGCCCTGTGCCTGGATGGGAATCCAAACAACGAACGCCTGAGTTGATGGATACCCCAATTACCCTGCTTTGATTAAATCCCATTTGTATACCTGTACAAAACACCATATATATCCCATAAAGATAGACAAATATTATATGCCTATAACAACTAAAAATCAAAACATTTTAAAAAGAAGAAACAAGGCAAATGGAAGCACAAAGCAGAAGATGGGAAAGGGACAAAAAAAGAAAGGAGAATGTGAGCGAGCCACCAATTCCTGTAAACACGTTCCCAGTTTTAAATGAACTTCAGCCCTTGTGGTAATGGAGGCATTGAACCCCCAATCAAGAAAGCTTTCCTCAAATCCAGTTTCAGCACTATACAGTTAACGTATGTTTGGAAAATATATTTTCAGTTAGTTAGTGTCTTGTGTGGGCAAGAAGAGAAAAGAATAAGGTGTGTGTAGTCAAATGTGGGTTCTAATACAGATAAGGGTGTTTCTGAGCTGTTTTAATTAGCAAGTTCAGGAAGGGCAAAAATCCCAACCACCTCTGTAATACACACACCATGTTAATTCCTCCCTGCTCTAAATCTACTCAGGACCAGGTTCCAGACAACTAGGGACAGCCCCTCTGCCCAGAAGTCTGGTGACATTATTCAAACTAGCTGTCCCAAGCTGCTCACCCTACCCTGCCTTGCCTTTTCCACAGCAGGGCCAGGGCCTGTGCTCTCCCCTCCCCAATCCTCTTCTACCTTCAGACCAGACTTGGTGCCTGCCCATGGGGCCCTGCATGGTCGGGGGTGGGGTGGGGAGGCATGCCCTCTTCTCCTGGGAAATGTTAAGTAAGTAACTCTTCTTTCAAAGGCAGTTGTCACCATGCCTGTCACTTTACCATATCTGATTAAAACAAATCCTGGTCATTTTTAATATCAGGTAATTGAAAGAAGACATGAACAGTCTGACTTCCTGGGATCCGAGTGTCTACTGGTATTCAAGTTGAATAACCTGTCCATGTGGATAGCAACCTACAGATGCCTTGTAGACATGAGCATTTTAAGGAAAGACCAAGAGGCTATTTAGAGTGGGCAGAGTAGGCGGGAATGACTGTTCTAGAATAGGTGTAACAATGGGTACCTTGTTTATGTCATTCAATTTAACCCCTATAGCAACCCCATGGTAGGAAGTATTAACACCCTTCTACATTTGGAAAGCTGAGACTTGCAGAAGTTAAATAAATAGCTTTGCTTCATTTAGGTCATATGTCTGGCTTACCCAGTCTGGGGCAGGTACTAGCGATAGGTCACACAGTGAATAAGACGGAGTGGGGCCCTGCTCTCACAGAGCACACAGACAGGGGGGAATCAGGGCAAACTGCCATGGGAGTGTGATAAGGTGGTGAGGGCCACCCTCACACCCTCACAATGATCTGTGGGTCCTCCTGACCTGGACCTGGTGGTCCTGCTCTGATAGCAATGACATCTAAGTCTAGACCAGGCGTCCTCAAACTATGGCTTGTGGGCCACATGTGGCCCTCCGAGGACATTTATTCAGCCTGCTGCCTGTCCTGTTGAGCAGCCAACTCATCCCAGGGCCCGCAGTCCACCCCTCCAATGGTCCGAGGGACAGTGAACTGGCCTTCTGTTTAAAAAGTTTGAGGACCTCTGTAGACTTGCAAAATATATCAGACTTGGATGTGGATAAGCTAATGAGAGGAGGAGGAGGAGAAGAAAAATGGTCACACGAAAAAGAGATCTGGATAGAGAAAATTTTCAAGATGCGTGCATGTACAGGGAGAGAGATGGATGCTTTCAAAGCACAGGTTAGCTTTCAGGAAAGGATAAAGGTAAGTCTGGGCAGAGAGGGAGGAGAAAGGCATAACTTTAAAAATTCTTGTTAGCATCTAGGCTGTATTCTGAGGGCAATAGGAGCCATGAAATTGTTTCTAATACAGCAATGATTAGATCAGACTTGTCTAAAACTTATTCCTAGTAAACTCTGCGACAAGAGTTGAATCCTGCTTTGTATTACTATGCTAGGATGAAAAAGATTCAATATTCAGTCTACAGAGCAATTTCACTCTGAAAAGTATTTGGTTAAGTATTTCAGACATACTATTCTCAGGATATTGTGTTTATTTGCAACATAAAATATTTCCATTTCCATCCATATATGTCGTTGCCTCTGAGAACAGATATGCCTTACATGACGGTACCCTAAAAAAACACTCTTAACACTTCATCACTGCCATAGACCATTTATTCTCATTTGCTCTTATTTTAACACCAGAATTTCTTGAGTGTCTTCATCACTCAAGATACAGGTGCAGAAAGCCGGGTCTGACCCTGCCCTCATAGGTAGTTTGGCCCAGACATTACAGACAAAATTTCATGGCCTCACCTTTGCAAAGAGGAAAATATTTTTACCTCCTAGAATATTTTCCAAATTCTAAAACTATATCACATTTTTGTTTATTGCTTGTGTACGGCCCCCTCATCATATCATCCCCATGTGGCCGGGACTCTTTCTTGTTCTCTGCTGATGCCCAGCATCAAAAATGGTGCTGAGTCTGCTGAATGACGGGAGAGGCAGGGCTGGAGAATGGGACGGAGCTCCGGGAGTGTGGTTCAGACCGACTGCGGGTCGGGCTGCAGGTTTCTCCCTTTGCTGATGTCGATCACCCTGGGCTGTTGGTTTCTCAAAATTAAAGATAGTCTCCAAGTATTAAGAAAGTAACATGGGAAATTCTGATCAACATTCACGATGGTTCTGCCCTTAGGATTTGCAAGATCCCGGACCCTGTGGCATTCTCTCATCTGGTGTACCCTGAGTCATAGCACACGGCTCATGGGGCCACACAACATCCTGAACTAACTCTGCCCAATGCTGTTTTTGTAATATTTGCCTAAAAGAATTGGTAGAAATGAAACATGGAAACTAACACGGATTTAGCAACTCTTCTTGGGGTGCGGGAACTTGTCAGAGTTGGAAGTATAAACAAGAAGTTTTTAAGATTGTTTATAAATAAAACTAATTTTAAGTGGTTGAATCATGAAAGTCATGAACACTGCCCTCCAAAACAAGGGAACATGACAAATTGTCTTAATATCGTATAATAGATACCTGGGGCTTGAGAGAAAATTTCCAGAGGTAGCATCAAATGCAGATTTGAAAAGTCTTGTTTCTTAAACAACTTCAACCAAGGTCTTAATGAGTTCTAGAAAGATGTCAAGTGGCTCAAAACAGGTGTTAATGATAATGAAGACAGCCAAAAGTTTGATAAGATTTTTTAAGATGTAGAATTGAGGCTCGGTGCCCGTAGCACAGTGGTTACAGTGTCAGCCACATACACTGAGGCTGGTGGGTTC